CTGATCTTGCTGGATTTTATTCTGCTTTACTTCCATAAATTGCAGGATCTTCTTTACTTTATCTTTGCCAGAAGATTTAAACTTTAAAAGCCTTGCCCTCATAATTTGCAAATTAATTTATTTATAAAGAAAATATAAACGCTGCTTAAGCTAATTCAAATGAAATTATCATTAGTGACTTTCACCAGAGCTGTTTCAGTGCTATGATGAGCTCTAAAGCCAGACTGAAACTCTTCAAAAAGTTCATTATGGTGGAAGTGATCGCAAACTTGTTTGGCAACTTCTTTCTCAAGAATTTTGGATAAGAAAGGAAGATTGGATATAGGTCTATAATTGACCAAGTCATCTGGGTCAAGAGACGGTTTCTTAAGCAGAGGTTTAATTACAGCAACCTTAAAAGCTTTAGGTACATATCCCTGTAACAGAGATAGATTAATCACATCTAGAATGGAGGAGGAGATCAAAGGGAATACCTCCTTAAATAACCTGGTTGGAACTGGATCTAACATACAAGTTGAAGGCTTAGATGAAGACAATAATTTTGCTAATTCAGAGAGTTCAACTGGATCAAAGCAGTCTAAACCCAGTTCAGATTCCATGACTACCTCAAGTACAATCGCGGATAGAGGAGTGCTTATGATCTTATTTTTAATAAGATCAATCTTATTTATAAAGAATCCCATAAAATCATTGCTGCTAAGAGCAGGTGGAATGGACGGTTCAACAGAGCTATGGCTCTGGGTGAGTTTGGCAACTGTATTAAAAAGAAATCTAGGATTATTCTTATTCTCCTCTATTAATGAGGAGAAGTATGCTGCTCTTGCTTTACAAAGGGTCCTCTTATACAGCAGTAAACCATTTTTCCAGACTAGGAAGGACTCCCGCAGGCCTGTGGAGCGATATTTTCTCTCCAGTTTCCTAGCATTTTGCTTCAAAGTACGCAGCTCTGCATTAAACCAAGGAGCAAGCTTTCTTTTTTTAACGGTTTTCATTTTCAAAGGAGCTGCGTTGTCTTAGGCAGTACGCAGAGAACTAGCAACCCCATCAACAAAATCATCAACCTGTGAAGGGGAATAAGCTATGCTTTTGCACTCTGCAGCACTGCTCAGTGACACAGAGGAGAGAGAAAGTGAAGCAGATTCTTTAAAATTTATAACTGCACTATCTGATAAAGATCTACTAAAATTGAACCTTCTTTTGGGGGAGGAGAACTCTGTTAAAGTAATCCTGAAGGTTATTAGAAAGTGGTCAGAGAGGACAGGGTTGTGAGGAAATACTGTTATTTCTTCACATTCTATGCCGTATGTCAGCACAAGATCCAAAGTATGAAGATGAGAATGTGTGGGACTATTCACATTTTGAACAAAGCCAATAGTGTCTAAGATAGCATTAAAGGCTGCTCTTAAGCTATCGCCTTCAATGTCAGCATGGATGTTAAAATCTCCCACTATGATGACCCTGTCAGTATTTAATACCAAATCAGAAAGGAACTCTGAAAACTCATCTAAAAATTCAGAGTAGGGACCTGGTGGACGATACAAAGTTACAAAAAGAAGAGGTTTTCTTGCTTTGCAATTTGGATCAGGGAAATTAAGGGTTAAATGTTCAAAGAGTTGTAGGTATTAATTGTTTTGGGAGTAATCAGTAAGTCAGACTGGAAGATTGTTGCTACTCCTCCTCCTCGCCCAGAACTTCTGGGGATGTGAAAATTTAAATAGCTTGAAGGAGTTGCCTCATTTATGCTCACATAATCCTATTGCTGCAGCCAGGTTTCTGTAAGGCAAAACAAGTCAATGTGATTATCACAAATCAAGTCATTAACTAGCAGACTTTTAGAGGAAAGAGATCTTATGTTAAACAGACCGCATTTAATTGTTTTAACTTTTTCCCCAATTGGAGTTATTTTGATTTTAATTAGATTATCATGATTTACTCCTTTGGGAATCTTTGCTAATTTATTAGATTTTGGTCGTGGGCAAGACACTGTCTGGATGGAGTAAAGAGTGGGTAACAGTAGAGAAGCTGCAGAGAGGTCTGTTAAACTAGGACTCTGCTTCCTGGTCTGCACCCTGGGGGGTCAGGGTTTTGGAGGACTAATAAATGTGGCCAGATTCCTAGAAAGAAGAGCTGCACCATCCAAAGTGGGATGAATGCCGTCTCTCCGAATCAGACCAGGCTTTCCCCAAAAGGATTGCCAATTATTAATGTAGCCCACGTTGTTTTCAGGACACCACCTAGACAACCAGCGGTTGAATGACGACATGCGGCTAAACATGTCATCACTGGTCAGATCAGGGAGGGGACCAGAGAAAATTACGGAGTCCGACATTTTTTTGGCAAACTTACACACCGAAGCAACACTAATTTTAGTGACCTCCGATCGGCGTAACCGGGTGTGATTACCACCAGCGTGAATAACAATCTTACTGTATTTAACCTTATCCTTAGCCAGTAGTTTCAGGTAGGATGTGATGTCGCCCGTTCTGCTCAGGCACTGCTGGAGGACAGCTACGTGGGGGGCCTACTTTAACTCCTGGATGTTCAACAGCCTGAAGCCTGGATTCTAACTCTGACACCCTCGCCTCCAAAGCTACTAAAATACTACACTTATTACACATCCCATTATCACTAAAGGAGGCAGAGGAATAACTGAACATCTGACACAGAGAGCAGGAGAGAGGAGAGGAAGAAGGAAGAGTTGGAAAAGAGTCAAGGGAGGGAGAGAGAGAAGCCATAGCAATGCTAAGCTAGCGCTAGCCTAGGCTAGCTACTCCTTGCTATCAGAAATTAAACCGTGTGAAACTGACAAGTGCTCAGTAGAAAAGTGCAGCAGAAGGTGCTATGTTTTAAAGTAGTCAGTTAGAGTTACTCAGATACAGAGATATCACAGAGAAAATAACTTAACTTCTGATGCAGTTCCTCTGGACAGCTGCAACAGCTGCACACTCACTTAATCCAAACAGGAAGTCCACAATAGGACACCGCTCTCATTCCATTTCCCAATCTTTGCCGCGTACAAAAAGGAGATTATAACTGTGTATCCAGACAGACGAACTGTCCTAATTAGATTAAAACATCAGTTCTGATGCGCAACAGGCCGCCCATACCAGGGTGGGATAAACTCACACATCTTCAATGATCCTAACAGTCTGCAGGACCTTTAGTACGTTCTTTACTTCTTATGTGCCACCTTCGCCCCCCCCCCCCACCTTCAAGATGGACTGATTGTTGGTAATAATAAAAATTATTGAACTTTAATGATCTCACCCTGGAGAAATTCCCTCTCTTCCATTAACCCCTCCCCTTGGGGAGCAGTGGGCTGCCATTTTGAGGTGCCCAGGGAGCAGTGTGGGGTTAAGGGTCTGGCTCAGGGACCCAGAGTGAAGGCTGAGTATGAGGTCGGGAAGTTCGGTCTGGCTCTGCTCCATAGTAGCGCGAGTATGATCGCCCACCCTCTGGCGATCCAATCAAATTGTCAGGGCGGGCTTTATACGATGATGGACAGATGATCAACAGTAACGTAATCAACCACGTGACCAAAGTGCGCTTGGGTGACAACAACAATGGCTGCCGCTGGAGAGTTGAGGTGAGTAGATTCTGCTATTAGGTCTGTTCTAGAAGATATCGACAGCAAATTAATTTTAAAAGAGGAACAGAGAAACGCCATCAAGGCTCATCTTCTTATTCTAAGCGTGAAACTGCACGCTTTGATTTTTGTTGACAACAACTATGCCTGGCTTAACATACGTCACGCACTCCGTTGCTCTTATTGGTTGTAGGTCTATCCAATTGAGTGCAGAGGCATTTTTTTTCCTGGTTTGTTCGAAACACGCCCCATAATCACAGCTCTATGGAGCAGCATCAGACTCATTCTGACTAGAATTGAGTCGGACTACGTCAGGCTAGATTTGTATGAGTTTGCCCTAATAAAAATATTGATTTAGTAAAAATAAAATTCAGTTTATTTCTATAGCTCCAATTCACATCATGTCATCTCAGGTCACTTTCCAGTTCACCAGATCATCCAGTCAGATTGATACAAAGTTTTCTATCTAAGGAAAACCAGCTGATTGCATCGACTCATTGACTCTTCAGTAATCCCTCACACTAAGCATGCTTGTAGCGACAGTGGAGAGGAAAAACTCCCTTTGAACGGCAAGAACCTGGTTTTTCTTAGATAGAAAACTTTGAATCAATCTGACTGGATGATCTGGTGAACTGGAAAGTGACCTGAGATGACATGATGGGAATTGGAGCTATAGAAATAAACTGAATAGAAACTGAACTGTGATGTAATATGAATCTAAGTCTTGTTCTGACATTACAGGAAGATTGAACCATTTGACTGAAAATCATTTTCTATCTGATATTTCATGTTCAAAAACAAAAAAACAGATCATCTATCTGTGTTAATCATCGCTCTCATAATCTTTAAAGAGATATTTCACTAATTTGACCTCAGAAATAATCTTCTTGGTTGAAAGTAGATATTTTAAATATTAATGTGTCAGAGGTCCTGGTTCTGTTATTGTTTACTGCAGAAACACTAGAAACAAATGAAACCTGAAAAGAACATTTATATTATCAAATGTGTAGCACATGAAAACTGCATGAAAACCTTTTAAGAACACATATAATGAGAACAGATTAAATGGCACCAACCAGACATCCAGACTGTAAAGGTTCTGCCTCCATATTCCAGAGATGCAGAACCAGACCCAGATTATAATAAAGTCAGATAATGAACTTTAATAATCCTTTATTGGCTCAAACCTGCAGAACAGACTGAATGTTCAGATGTTCACTGCAGAGCAGATAAAAACATTTTGACTTTATTTAGAACAAAGAATGAAGAATAAACTTTAACTTTATTTTAGGTTGTTTAATTTACATCTGAGGTCAAGAAAAGAAAAACTGATTTAATCAAACAGAAAAACAGGAAATATTCTCCATTAAACCATCAACCAATCAGCTGCAACCAATCAGCTTCAGCCAATCAGCTTCAGCCAATCAGCTTCAACCAATCAGCTGCAGCCAATCAGCTGCAGCCAATCAGCTGCACTCGTTCCCTTTGATCAGGAAGAAGGTTCCCAAGGCAACGCCGATGAGTCCGATGGTCAGACCGACTCCACTGAACACAGCAGGTCCAACACTGGGCTGAGGACTGTCCATCTCCACATCTGGAGACAGAGACAGAGACATGAACATCTGGAGGTGGACGTCCATCACCTACATGTCTGGTAATGGATGAAGGTTCCTCACCCCACATCGTAGTGACTGGTTTCTGTAGGGCAGGATGCTCCACTGAGCAGCTGTAGACGTCTCCCAGCTGAGGGATGAAGTCCAGTCTGGAGATCTGGGTGAAGGTGCTGTCCTTACTGGGATAGGGAACGTTGATGCTGGTTCCATCAGTCACCTTCTGGCCGTTCTTGGTCCAGGAGACGTTGACAGGAGCAGGATAGAAACCAGAGACATGACAGATCAGGATGTTCTTCTCTCCCAGCTCTATGTCATCTCTGGGATAGACCACTGGATTGGATGGAGGATCTGAGGAGGGAAACAGAGCTGAGCTAAGACCTGGTGGAAGATTCATCTACCAGAACAGAACCTGATGAAGGACCAGGTGGATCACGTGTTCACAGCACTGGATGAAGATAATACAGATATTAAACTTTATCAATCTGCAGGTTTACTAGTGGTTCCTAGAATTTCTAAAAGTAGAATGGGAGGCAGATCTTTTAGTTCTCAGGCTCCTCTCCTGTGGAACCAACTACCAGTTTTAGTCCGTGAGGCAGACACCCTGTCTACTTTTAAGGCTAGGCTTAAAACTTTCCTTTTTGATAAAGCTTCTAGTTAGAGTGGCTCAGGTTATCCTGATCTATCTCTATAGTTCTGCTGCTATAGGCTTAGACTGCTGGAGGACATAGGGACCCCTTTTTCATCATTCTGCTTCATTCTATCTCTATTCTCCCACTCTGCAGAATCTGTTAGTTCAATCTCTAACGTTCTGCTCTCTCTGCTTTTTCTCATAGTAGCTTCATCTGGTCTGTTCCTGTTTGGCTGTGACTCCATCCTGGAGAGAAATATCAGCTGTGCTGCTGCCATCAACACCTTTGTTTCTAGATGTTGGAGCTTGGCCTGTTTTCCAGTGTAGTCCTGTTTCTCTGACTGTGACTAACTGGATGTGCTCTCTTCATCCTCTGACATGGGAGCTGGCTCGGAGCTTGTCTGAAGTCGCTACAAGCATGCTTAGTGTGAGGGATTGCTGAAGAGTCAATGAGTTGATGCAATCAGCTGGTTTTCCTTAATTTTGTTTCATCTTAACATGGTCGCTGCAGTAGGCTGCAGTCTTGCTCATAAAATAGCTGTTAGGCTTCTCCTCTCTCCTCATCAACATTTCATAACCAAACTGTTACCAGTCAGACCATTTGCCACATTTTTCCCCTGAGTAACAGAAGTTAGAGAGCCAGACTGGAGGTGAAAGCCTTCTAAGGAAGCATTTCCCTTAGTGTGATCCACATGGGACTAGGGCTGGGTATTGTTCAAAAATTTTCGGTTCCGGTACCAATACTGATACCTTCACTTCGATACCGGTTCCTGAACGATACTTTTTTCGATAACAAGCCCGTTGAATGGGATCCTACTGACCTGGTATGTGGGGGTCTGAGCGGCTCCCACAGAAATATTGGAAGGCAGGATGAACTGACTACACTGATTAAGTTTTCAGGTGGTTTTTCCCACTTAAAAACATAATAAAACTACTTTATTCTCACTGATCACAGCAAATATATCTGCCAGGCAGAGAAAGGATACAGTAGCTCCGCCCAACGTGCGTCAGAGCCACTTATCGACCGCGCAGCCAGAGCAGCAGAGCTGCTTCAGCCGCGCGTCAGAAGCTGGTACAAGCAGCAAAAATGAAGCAGCAGACGTGATTTTGCTGCTCCTGCTGCGTCCAGTTTGAAAGCAGCATGATTCACTGCGCTCTGGCTTTGCTCCGCCCACGGGCTGCTGAGAGGAGGATGGCTGCGCCGGCTGCGGTCCGCTCTTCTGCAGTCAAACACCGAGCAACTTTCTGCTCTTAAATTGTTTCCGTGCTTGATGTATTGCATTGCGCCCTATTGGCATCAGTCTTAATAAAGTGAAGCCGCACTTTTGACCTGGGGGGCATTTTAAAGGGGTTCCACGACGCTGCAACCAGTTCACCACAGATACACGTGAACCCTGGCTGTAGGCGGGACCACCTGTGGACTTCTCCTGGATGACACAATCAGTGTTACAGCCAATCACCGAAACTTGGTACCGAAAGACGAGGCATGTTTGATACTCTGTAGAACCAAAGCATTTCGGTCGGTACCATAAAAGTACCGAAGTTCGGTACCCAGCCCTAACCATAAATTTACTCACATTTAGCTTAGTTAGCTGAGTTTTTACACAGAAATGAGTTTAAAGTCCTAAGTTAAATAAACTTTCAATGACCCAGAATTCCATGGTCTATACAGGATTTTAATAATTATAAATTTAAATGCTATCAATAAGTACCAATTACTCTCATATATATATATATATAAAAAAAAAACTGTCTTCTCCCCCCTGGTGGGGTGGTATGTGTCATCCTCAAGCTCGGGTCCTCTACCAGAGGCCTGGGAGTTTGAGGGTTCTGCGCAGTATCTTAGCTGTTCCTAGGACTGCGCTCTTCTGGACAGAGACCTCTGATGTTTTACCTGGAATCTGCTGTAGCCACTCTCCCAGTTTGGGGGTCACAGCCCCCAGTGCTCCAATTACCACTGGCACCACTGCTGCTCTTACTTTCCACATCTTTTCTAGCTCCTCCTTCAGTCCTTGGTATTTCTCAAGCTTCTCGTGTTCTTTCTTCTTGATGTTGCTGTCGCTTGGGATTGCCACATCTATCACTACTGCCTTCTTCTGCTGTTTGTCGATCAACACGATGTCTGGTTGGTTAGCCATCACCTGTTTGTCGGTCTGGATCTTGAAGTCCCATAGGATCTTAGCTCGGTCATTCTCAACTACCTTAGGAGGTGTCTTCCATTTTGACCTTGGGACTTCCAGCCCATACTCATGGCAGATGTTCCTGTACACTATGACAGCTACCTGGTTGTGGCGTTCCATGTATGCACTTCCTGCCTGCATTTTACACCCCGCTGTTATGTGCTGTATTGTTTCAGAGGCATCTTTGCACAGTCTGCATCGGGGGTCCTGCCTGGTGTGGTAGACCCTGGCCTCTATTGATCTTGTACTGAGTGCCTGTTCTTGTGCTGCCATGATTAGTGCCTCTGTGCTGTCCTTCAGTCCAGCCTTTTCCAGCCACTGGTAGGATTTTTTGATATCAGCCACTTCTTCTATTTGTCTGTGGTATACGCCATGCAGCGGCTTGTCCCTCCATGATGGTTCTCCTTCCTCTTTCTTGTCCTCACTTTCGGTTTTCTCCTGCCTGAGGTACTCACCAAGCCATTTGTCTTTGGGGGCCATCTTTCTGATGTACTCCTGGATCTTAGTTGTTTCATCCTGGACAGTGGTCTTGACACTCACTAGCCCTCGGCCTCCCTCGCTACGCTTGGTGTACAGTCTCAGAGTGCTGGATTTGGGGTGGAACCCTCCATGCATTGTGAGGAGCTTTCTCGTCTTGATGTCAGTAGCCTCTATCTCCTCCTTTGGCCAGTTTATTATACCAGCGGGGTATCTGATGACTGGTAGGGCATATGTGTTGATGGCTTGGATCTTGTTTTTCCCATTCAGCTGACTTTTCAGGACCTGCCTTACTCTTTGTAGGTATTTAGCTGTGGCAGTCTTTCTTGCCATCTCCTCGTGGTTTCCGTTAGCCTGTGGCACCCCAAGGTATTTGTAGCTGTCCTGAACATCTGTTATGTGGCCTTCTGGTAGTTCAACCCCCTCGGTTCTGATCATCTTCCCTCTCTTTGAGACCATGCAACCGCACTTGTCCAGTCCGAGTGACATCCCAATGTCGTTGCTGTAGATCCTGGTAGTGTGGATCAGTGAGTCGATGTCTCGCTCACTCCTGGCATACAGCTTGATGTCATCCATGTCTGCAGAATCTGTTAGTTCAATCTCTAACCTTCTGCTCTCTCTGCTTTTCCTCAGAGTAGCTTTGCCTCGTCTGTTCCTGTTTGGCTGTGACGTCATCCTGGAAAGAAACATCAGCTGTGCTGCTTCTATCAACACCCTTGTTTATAGATGTTGGAGATCGGCCTGTTTTCCAGTGTGGTCCTGTTTCTCTGACCGTGACTGAGTGGATGTGCTCTCTTCGTCCTCTGGCATGGGAGCTGCCTTGGAGCTCGTCTGCCTGGCTGTGTGTTTCCTGGACGGGGCCGCCTTTTACAGCTGCTTTTTGTATCTCTGCTTCTGTCTCCTTGAACCCCAGTCGGCCTCGGCAGACGGCCGCTCACACTGAGCCTGGTTCTGCTGGAGGTTTCTTCCTGTTAAAAGGGAGTTTTTCCTCTCCACTGTCGCTACAAGCATGCTTAGTGTGGGGGATTGTATTTGAGTCAATGAGTCAATGCAATCAACTGGTTTTCCTTAGATAGAAAACTTTGTATCAATTTGACTGTATGATCTGGTTGAACTGTAAAGTGCCTTGAGATGACATGTGTTGTGAATTTGGCGCTATATAAATAAACTGAATTGAAAAATTGAAATTGAAAAATTGAATGTAGAGGAGGTGACTGATGATTGTTCCGCTTCGGAATTGGTATCCGTAGCCAGTCTTTGTAATGATCTGGCTGAGGGGGTTAAGGCCTATGCAGAACAGCAGCGGGGATAGTGCATCGCCTTGGTATATGCCGCACTTGATGGTGACTTGTGCTATTGGCTTTGCATTGGCTTCCAGACTTGTTTTCCACAGCTTCATTGAGTTCTTGATGAAGGCTATTAGAGTCCTGTTGATCTTGTACATTTCCAGGCATTCCAGTATCCATGTATGTGGCATTGAGTCATAGGCTTTCTTATAGTCAATCCAGGCAGTGCACAGATTTGTCTGCCTGGTCTTACAGTCTCGGGTGACTGCTCTATCCACTAGTAGCTGGTGCTTGGCTCCTCTGGTGTTGCTTCCTATTCCCTTCTGGGCAGGGTGCATGTATTGAGCCATGTGCCTATTCATCTTAGCCGCTATGATGCCTGACAGGAGCTTCCATGTTGTGCATAGGCAAGTTATTGGCCAGTAGTTGGATGGGATTGTTCCCTTCTGTGGATCCTTCATGATCAGGATTGTCCGTCCTTGGGTTAGCCATTCTGGGTGGGTCCCATCCATCAGCAGTTGGTTCATTTGTGCTGCGAGGCGTGCATGAAGTGCGGTTAGTTTTTTCAGCCAGTAGGTGTGGATCATGTCAGGGCCTGGTGCTGTCCAGCTCTTCATACCTGCCGCTCTTTCTTGGACATCTGCCGTTGTAATGGTTACTGGTTCTTGTTCTGGGAGATTGCTGTGATCTGTTCTTAGATCTTCCAGCCACTGAGCATTGGTGTTGTGGGATGCCTCCTTCTCCCATATGTTTCTCCAGTACTGTTCAGTCTCAGCCCTGGGTGGATCTGATCTTGAATTAGCCTGCCACTGTGAGTACACTTTGGATGGGTTGGTGGAGAACACCTGGTTTATTCTCCTGGCTTCTGCTTCTCCCTTGTATCTCTTTAGGCGGGTGGCCAGGGCGGCGAGTCTTTGTTTGGCAGTTTCCAGAGCCTCAGGAATCGACAGCTTGTTGTACTTAGGTAACCTCTTCCCTACACCTTTCTGCAGTTCTGAGAGCTGACTAACCTCTCTTCGTGTTGCCTTGATCTTGGCTTCCAGCCTTCTTCTCCATGGGGGCTCTGCTTTGTGGCCTGTGGTGTTTATCTTATAGCCAAGCATCTCTAGGATCACTGTAGCTGTGGCGTAGGTCAGCTCATTGGTTTCAGTGATGTCCTTAGTAGGGATAGTATGTAGTGCTGCATTAACATCTTCTAGAAGGCTTTCAGAGGGTACTCTGTCACTTAGCCTTGGCAGTCTTGGTCGTCATACTAGGGGATCCAGTTTCGTTATGATCTGCTGTCGCAGGTCAGCTGCCCTTACGTTTAGTGGGCCTGTTGTAGTTGGGGCTGGGGACCCAATCTCTGTGTGTTGGGATGATGATATTTCCCTACTGACCTGTTGTCCTGACTCCCCCTTGCCGCAGCATGTCAGTTGTACCTCGTCAATTTCTAGCTGTGAAAGCAGCTGCCGTTTGCGGATGTTGGAACACTGTGTTAGTAGTTGTTTCTTTGTCAATGATGACAATGGTTGTTGGAGTTGCCATAATTCCCATAGTCTCTGCATGTAACCTCTCTCACTGGGCATGCGAGTATAGTAGCATTTCATCAACTTAAGCTACTGCATAGCTCGGTAGGTAACACCGACGACTCCGGCACAGGTGACCGGGGTTCGATTCCCGGCATGGACATCATCCAGGTGGACCCTTAGGCAAGTTCTTTTGTGCTTAGTGGCCTACCTCAGACATGAGTGATACCGCAAATATATATATATATATTTATAATCTCTGTACTTCAGCAAATGAGTTTATTTTGGAAGTGAAAAGATTCAAGCATGTCTTTATGTTGGGAGCTTCCTCCAGCAGAGTCCGCCGTGGATCCTCCTGAGCTGAGCTGCCTGCACACCTGTGACTGATCATCTCTTCAGGAGGACCACAGTATTTAAGCTGTCTTCAGACCTTGCCTCGACGCCGCAGTGTTTAATCAGTTTGGTTAGCACCTAAGCCTAGAACCTCCTGAGAACTTTGCTATCTCTGAGTCCAGTTTGGATTCTAACCTTTTGTCTCTGCTTCCAGGTTACCTGTTTTTCTCCTGTGAAGCTCTGGAAGAGCTTAACCTGCCGAGCCTGCCCTCTGATCCAAACCTGAAGACTCTCTTCTGGATTTCCAAGCAGCTCTGGATTTAGAGCTGGGAACTCAAACCAAGGTCATCACCAGTACGGCAATTGCCATACTGCTCCACTTGTTTCATGTATATAAATTAGAGATGCACGATATATATCGGTCACCTAAACTATCGGGCCGATTTGGGCTTATTTTCTATCGGCCCGATAGCCATATTTTCCCGATAAAAATAGCCGATAATTTAATAAAAACGCGGAAACTGCGTTCAAGAGTAACGACTTTTATTTTGAAGACACAAGCCATGACGCGCAGTGGCACGTCACATCCAATGCATGCAGCCAGTGAGTGGGGAAGTAGACAAACATGCCTTCACCAGTATGGTCGTTCTTCACAGTGGCAGAAAATGACAATGCTTTCGCTATATGCAACGCCTGTTCATTGCGGATTCCGAGAGGAGGAAAAAGGTCGTCAAGCTTTAACACAAGTAATCTTATATCTCACCTGAAAAGTCGGCACCACGGCGAAGAGGTATTAAAAGAGTATGAGGCAGCGGCTGCAGCCGCTAGCACAAGCAGTGAAACCAATGCGGTAACTAAAGGAAGAAAATCCGATGTTACCATTCTGCAGTCTTTTGAAAAAAGTAGACCCTTTGCGAGAGACAGTGAAAAGACCAAAGCCATTAACGGCAAAGTAATGGAGTTCATTGCACTCGGCGACCAGCCTTTCTCCGTGGTCGAAGAGCCATCTTTTCGTAGCCTGTTGGCACACTTGGAGCCACGCTACACTCTTCCAAGCCGCCGCTTTTTCTCAGACGTGTCCCTCCCTGCACTTTATGATGTTGTTGCCACACACATCCACAGCCTAATCGACCAGAATGGACTACACATAAGTTTCACAACAGACATATGGACGTCCGATGTTAGCCCTGTTAGCATGCTAAGTCTAACAGCACAGTGGCTAGACGAGGACTTTAATTTGCAACAAGCCATGCTGCATGCTCAGGAGTGCCCCGGATCACATACTGCCGCAATGATATGTCAGGCGTTTAACACCATGCTTGCACACTGGAATATAACGAAAGACCAAGTGCATGTCGTGCTGAGGGACAACGCACGCAACATGATCAAGGCCATGGAGGAGTGTGGGCTTGCCAGTTTGGGCTGTGTAGCACACACGCTACAGTTAGCTGTGAACGAGGCTGTACTGAGCCAAAGAAGCATCGCAGACTGTGTCGCGATAAGCAGGAAGATAGTCGGACACTTTAAACACTCCAACGTCGCCACCTCCCGCCTACGAAACTTACAGAAACAACTTGGCATGAAAGAGGCAAGGCTTCAACAAGACGTGGCTACTCGTTGGAATTCAACCTTCTACATGCTGACCAGCTTGTTGCAGCAGAAACGAGCCCTGGCAGCATATGCCGTCGATTTCGACTTGCCTGCATTTCTGAGCCCAAATCAGTGGGCTTTAATCGAAAACATGCTAACAATTCTTGACCCGTGTGAGCAGCTGACAAAAAACATGAGCTCAGCTACAGCCACCGCAGCTGATGTGATCCCCTCCATTGAGGCCCTGAAACGTCTGTTAAACAAGACTGTTGCGACAGATCATGGAATCAAAACTTCAAAGAGTATGCTACTGCAAGCTGTTGAGCAGCGTTTCAGTCACATCTCGACAGAGTCCGTGTGCTTTCTGGCCACAGTGTTGGACCCCAGATATAAAGACTGCTTTTTTGACCAAGCAACAAAGAAGGAAGCAATGGAAGTCTTAACAGCCAAAATGAGATCACAGACAGAAAATGAGCCAGAGCCACATGAGAAGAGAACCAGGACAGATGACAACAACAACAATACTTCCCTGCAGAAAATGTATGAAGAAATCCTTCACGAAAATGCCACAAACGAGCTGAACCACAGCCAAGCTGATCAGCAGGTAATTGATTTGTTGTTTATATAAAGCTTTGGGCTATCTGATAAAAAAAAATGTTATATTATGTTAAATATGCTATGTATAACATTAAATATAATTTTGTTTTTGTTCTTTGTTATTCTTCTATTACCTTAGATTCAAGCCTATCTCTCAGAGCCCACAATTCCTCGATCCGAGAGCCCCTTGGACTACTGGAGAAGCAACAAAATCCGGTTCCCACAACTTGCCCTCCTCGCACGGAAGTATCTGTCCTCTCCTTGTACAAGTGTGGACAGTGAACGTTTATTTTCTGCTGCTGCAAATGTTATTGATGAAAAACGAAACCGACTTGGATGTGAGAAAGCAGAGATGCTTCTCTTTGTTAAGAAAAATCTCCCACTGGTGCCCTCCCCCAGAATATAGAAAATATAATGCAGATAATTTGACAGTGACAAGTTTGGGGGGAGGTTAGGATAGGAAATGTTGAGAAGAGAAAAATCTTTGAAGTTGAAGTTTTGAAGAATTTAAGCATTTTATTTTTGAAACAGATTTAAATATTTACGTCCCTAAGGGATGTACGTTTTGTTAAAATTAAGAGGCACATTTTATGCTTATTGTTGTTAGAACTTTTGCTATACGTTTTATGATGGCATATGACCACATGTAATGACATGAAACAGTGACAAGATTGGGGAGTGGTTAGCAAAGGACATGTTAAGAGGAAATCATTTAACTTTTAAGTTGAAGTTGTAAGCATTTTTTTTATCTAAATGACTGAGTTTTTTTTTAATGCAGTCAAGCATTAATGGTTTTCAGAATGCACTTTACTTTATTACATACCTCCATAAGAGATGCACTTTTTTTGTTAAATTATGATGCATGTTTAATGCATATCTGTGTCTTGCTACATGTTTTATAGCAGATTACCTTATTTTTTTGGTGAAATGAAAAGAAATAAACATTTGCAGTGTCACAAAGTTGTTGTTTTTTGTTATAGATAGGTCAAATCAGCTAATTCATCAGTTATCTATACTGCACAAAGTAGATTATATCAATATATTATGTTAATGTTGTGTTAATAAGAAAATTAAATAAAATTTTAACATATCGGTATCGGTATCTGTATCGGCCCTGAGAAGCAGGAAATTATCGGTTATCGGTATCGGTTGAAATTTTTAATATCGTGCATCACTAATATAAATTGCTTTATTATAATTATGCAGGGAGTTTTACAGATTATATGGACACTGCAATGTACGTAGAGCAGAGAAACAGAAGAAGAAAAAGGAAAAAGAGAAAAAAAAGAGAAAAGATGAAAGAAAGAAGAAAGGAGACAATGACAAAACATTTTCATTCTGCTTCATCACCTGTAACGAGATGAAAAAAGAACAGCACAACCGAAAGACACGGTACGAGACATACAATAAAGCAACACCTTGAAACTATCGCTAAAGTAATATTATTAAGTCTGACATGTACTCTGTGTTACCTGAAGATATGAATGTGGGGTTTCTGTTTGGAAGTGAATCTCTGAGTACCTGAAGCCTAGCACCTGTAGTTGTTTGTGAGGGTGAACTTGTGCATGTAAAGTTTTAACCATAGAAAAAATGCTCAATAGTGGCTGTGGAGAGCCAAAGAGGTGCCCCCCCCAGAGCACTGAGTCCAGCGCCAGGAGACCCAGAGCCCCAGGCGCCCAAAGGGACCCCAGAAGGCCCAGCGAAGGCACCAAGGCGGGGCCAGCCCCGGAAATCAGACCCCACCAAGGGAGGAGGAGAGACAACCCCGAGGAAGCCCCCATGCCACCGCCATGCCGGCCCCGACACGCGGCCGGAGCAGCTCCGCCACCCCCGCCCCCCGATGCGCGCCGGCCCCAGCCACCCCAACCCCCAGCCCGCCCCGCAGCCACACCCACCACGATCAGCGAGAACAAAGCAGCTCCACCATGCCTCCAAGCGGGAAAACCCACCCAAAGACCCAGTCAGCGCAGCCAGCCCATCCACACCAGCCCCCCAACACCACTCCCGCCAGAGCCGACCGGACCCCCACACACCAGCGGCGCGCCGCCAGCAGGACCCCCACCCAACAGGCCCGCCCCCCCCCCCCCTGAGAAAACAGACATGCTAATCCCCCCCAAAAAAACAACAACAAAAAACACGCCAAGCAGAAAAAAGCCCCCACAATGCGACAGTGGACACCAGACACTGACCCGCCCACAACCGCTCCCCCCCACCGAGAAAAAATACATAAATAAATAAGTAAATTAATTAATTAATTAATAAATTAATAAATTAATAATTAAAATTAAAATAAATAAAAATTCCCCTATGCAACAAAAGAAATGCAAGCGGAAAAACCGGAGCCCAAAACAAGACCAAAGACCTGCACCTCATCGTGCCGTGCAGCTCCCCTGTCCCCCGAACCGATACCACAGAACCGGCATAGGAAAAAGCACCGCCCAGGAACCGGCATCGTAGCGAAGGCACCGGCACCGACACCGAAAATCCCCGAACAACAGCCAGCCCCACCCCGAAACAGATCCAGTCCCGGGCCCCAGGGATCCGAGGCCCCAGGGGCGCCCAACCCCCAGACAGGAGCCCCAGCAAAGCCCCGGCCGGCCGGGCCAGCGGAGAGGCCGCCAGGAATGAGCCAGCAGCCCCCTGGGCATTCACCCCCAGACCCCGAGCTCCACCAGTGCACCAGTGGATTCCCCTGCTGCTCTTAGTGAAGAGCTGGAAACTCTGATCAAGGTCTGCCTTTCAAAGTCAGAAGCTAGACGCTGCAGCTGCTCTTGGACTCTGCTGAACAAACAGTCTCTGGACCCAATGGTTCCCTCTCTCTCAAAGAGAAGCCCGGACTCAGTCCAGGTATACTCTTGAATTATCAAAGACTCATAACTCATCAGCCTGCTTCCTAATCAAACTATCATCTCTGCAGACTTCAGTGAACCAGTCCGGACCAGTTCCTGATCCAGTACATTATCTTGTGTTTTGTGAAACCTTCAATAAACTCTGTTAAACTTTTACCCAGCCTCCGTTGTGTTCTGCATGTGGGCTAAGAACCTAAAACCAATCATGACAGAATCTTAATGCCAATTAAGGCCTTAATTTAAAAAATAATAATTTAATGACTTTTAATTATTTTTAATAACCCGCAGAAACCCCGAATTCAAATACATTTTTTTAGCATGGGCAGAAAACTGTAAATGTTAGCATGAACACTGTTAGCACATCCCACCTAGCATATTACTGCCATCACACTTCAGCGCTCAGAGTGGATCCTAAAAACTGAAACCAGGCATCAGGTGTTCTCAAACAGTGGCATCGAGGATCTGCTCTAAAACATCTTCAGAGCCTCTGACAGCAGAAGGGTCTATCTGCATGATGAGGCTCTGGTTCTTCACCATCTCTGCTGCTGTTACATCCAGAGGAACCTGCTTTCTATTTCCTCCAAATCATTTAGCCTCATTTTCTCTTCTACATTTTTTCTATTTATTCTAAAAATTCAGTTCCTGGTTTATAATGTGTGAGATAAATAAATGATAGTATCTCTGGTCCATCTGTGGGTCAGCGGTTGCTGCTGGATCTGAGTCTGAGCTGACATCTCTCTGAGTATAGATCCAGAGTCCCTCTGTTCAGAGTTCAAAAGGTCCAATCTCTGGTGTTTCTACCTTCTGCCTCCAGAACATGGAAGAATCTACAAAGAGACTGGAAATGAAAGGAACTGGTTCCAATGGGCCAGATGAAGCTCCCAGTCTGAGGTTTGGAAGTGAAATCCAAATGTTTTTAAACATTCCTATGATATTGTTATAAAATCATAGGGCTGGGCGATAATTCAATAACGATATATATCGATCGATAGACGTGTGGCGCAATAGAAAAAAAGAGCGTCGATAAAAGTTCGATAAAAAAGAAACGCAGTTTTCCTTCCTTCTCATTGTAGCCTAGCATGTAGGTTTATGCTAGTCACTGCTTCCTCCCAACCAATCACAATCGCGGACCCAGGCACGCCGTCACAAAGCGCCGCCCTCTCAAACCACAACACAGAGCACATGAAGATGTGAGGCAAGGAGAGGCGGAGGAAACTGTTTCAAAGAAAGGTTTTTGTAGTTCGGCAGTCTGGCAGTATTTCGGTCATGGCAAGTCGGACCAAAAAAAAACCACAGTCATCTGGAAAATGTGTCGGGAACCAGTGAAACCAGTCTGATAACACAACCAACTTTTTTTTTTTAATCATCTCAGCCGCTCACAGCCGCAGGAGTACGAGCTGTGTAGGCCCCGACGCGGCTCTCCTCTGAGGAATCTTCGGGAAAATATATATATATTTTTAGTTCTGGGCAGTTTCCCACGTAGTTCTAACAATTGAGATAAAAATGCTAAGGGGCCAGAAACTTCAAAGTAATAACTCAGGTTAAAGCAGGAAACGGGGGCGGCGGTGGGGGGGCATTTATTTATTTGTTATATTTATTTTGGTCACTTTTCTGGTCACTTTAGTTTATTCTTTGTCAGTATTTAATAACATAACTCAGGTCTCTTAAGTTATTTTTCTTTAAAACAATTCTGTTATGGTTAAAAAAGTTGGTTAAATAAAGATTTAATTGGAAGTCTGTGTTTGTGTTCTTTATTAAAATTAAATCATTTAGCAATATCATAAAAAGTCCAGGCAGAGCTGCACATAAAATATGGTTTCAAATCTTTTCAATAATTATCGATATCGATCAATATGCATTTTTTTTTATCGATAAGCTTTTTTTCTATATCGCCCAGCCCTATAAAATCATCTGTAATGAACTGCTGTCTGAGCCAGAAGTCCATTTAAAGAGATGAGTAACCTTAATGGGAGTTTACTGGTTGAATAAATATAAACAATAAAGGAAAAAGTTTAACAGCCACTCAGAGAGCAGAGCCCTGATTGGTGGGTGGATCTGATGTCATGTTTATGTTTTTAATTATTTGTTGTTGATTAAACACTGAATAAATATAATATAAATAAATACAATCTAATGTTGTTTGGAACAAACTATTTGATATATCAGTTTATGTCAATCAGATGTAAAATCTTTATTCTTCTCTAATCTAAATTTTAAGACTTTAATTATTGATTATTACATAGTTTATAGATTCATAATCTCATATCAGTGTGAATCTGTATTTTTTGTAATTTTTCAGCTTTTTAGAGAAAATACTGTTTTCTCACAGAATGGATGATTGAATGAATTAAACTGATTATAATTTATTTACCTGCTAATTAAAGAACAATTATCTGATCAGAAAGAAATTAGATCAGTTTAATAATGAAAAGTTTTTACCTTTTTCCAGAGGAATGTCCTTCATAGCTTTACGCCTGAGTTTCAGGTTGTTTCTGCAGATCTGTTGACTACCCACAGCTAGTTCATAAGTTCCTTCCTGGTATTTGAAAGGATCAATGAAAGGAGGCAGAGGATATTCTCCTTCTCCCTTCTTAAAGTCAGCGAACCACAGCTCTTCTCCCTCCAGAGTGTACATGAACTCTCCATCAGAGTCTGAACAGCCACTGATACGAAGGTCCTCATGGAGAACTGGAAGAGAAGAACTGGTGAGGAACCACTGAGGTCCACTGGGTCACACTGAACCAGAACCAGAACCAGTAGAACTCACCATCAGCAGAGACCCAGAGGACGGAGCAGAGGAAGAGGAGCAGCTTCATCATCATCATCATCCTCTCTCTGTTAAACTCTGAGATCAACTGAGAGGAAAGTTCAGCTGCTGCTGGAAGCAGAAGCAGCCAGCAGCCAATCAGAGACTGTGACGTCACCGGTATCCAGGCAGACAGCCGCTGAAACTGGACTGAAGCTGCTAGAGATCAGGAGATGATCGGGTTTGAAGATCAACCATCGGATCTGATTGATTGGATAGATTCTATTAACTGGATTAAAGTATATAAAACTAATTTGATTTAATGAAATTATAAAATTAAAGGTTAATTCCATCGTTTGAACATGTTTAAAAGCCTCATTTTTAAGTGAAATTTGATTTTCTAAGTTTAGGACATATTTCTGTTTTTTATAAATAACATTTGTTTTCAGCTTCCATATTCAATTCAATTCAGTTTATTTATATAGCGCCAAATTCACAACACATGTCATCTCAAGGCACTTTACAGTTCACCAGATCATCCAGTCAAATTGATACAAAGTTTTCTATCTAAGGAAAACCAGTTGATTGCATCGACTCATTGACTCAAATACAATCCCCCACACTAAGCATGCTTGTAGCGACAGTGGAGAGGAAAAACTCCCTTTGAACAGGAAGAAACCTCCAGCAGAACCAGGCTCAGTGTGAGCGGCCATCTGCCGAGGCCCACTGGGGTTCAAGGAGACAGAAGCAGACATAGAAAAAGAAGCATAGATACAAAAGGCAACTGTCAACCAGCTCCACAGGCGGCCCCGTCCAGGAAACACACAGCCAGGCAGACGAGCTCCAAGGCAGCTCCCATGCCAGAGGACGAAGAGAGCACATCCACTCAGTCACGGTCAGAGAAACAGGACCACACTGGAAAACAGGCCGATCTCCAACATCTATAAACAAGGGTGTTGATAGAAGCAGCACAGCTGATGTTTCTTTCCAGGATGACGTCACAGCCAAACAGGAACAGACGAGGCAAAGCTACTCTGAGGAAAAGCAGAGAGAGCAGAACGTTAGAGATTGAACTAACAGATTCTGCAGAGTGGGAGAATAGAGATAGAATGAAGCAGAATGATGAAAAAGGGGTCCCTATGTCCTCCAGCAGTCTAAGCCTATAGCAGCAGAACTATAGAGATAGATCAGGATAACCTGAGCCACTCTAACTAGAAGCTTTATCAAAAAGGAAAGTTTTAAGCCTAGCCTTAAAAGTAGACAGGGTGTCTGCCTCACGGACTAAAACTGGTAGTTGGTTCCACAGGAGAGGAGCCTGAGAACTAAAAGATCTGCCTCCCATTCTACTTTTAGAAATTCTAGGAACCACTAGTAAACCTGCAGATTAAGAGCGAAGTGCTCTGTTAGGAACATAAGGAACAATCAGATCTCTGATATCAGATGGAGCTTGGCCATTTAAGGCTTTATATGTGAGAAGGAGGATTTTAAATTCTATTCTGGATTTAACAGGAAGCCAATGAAGAGAAGCCAGGATAGGAGAGATATGATCTCTCTTTTTCATTTTCATCAGAACTCTGGCTGCAGCATTTTGGATCAGCTGAAGGCTTTTAACTACAGTTTGTGGACTTCCTGATAGTAAAGAATTACAATAGTCCAGCCTTGAAGTAACAAATGCATGGACTAGTTTCTCAGCATCACCCCTGGACAGGAGATTGCTCATTTCTGCAATGTTCCTCAGATAAAAGAAGGAAATTCTAGAAACCTCTTTGATCTGGGATTTAAATGACAGGTCCTGATCAAAAATAACACCAAGATTTTTTACTTTATTATCTGAAATCAGTTTAATCCCATCCAATTGAAGTGACTGACTAATCAGCTTCTTTTTCAGAGACTCTGGTCCAAAGACTATAACTTCTGTTTTGTCTGCATTCAGAAGCAGAAAGTTAAGAGTCATCCAGGTTTTTATGTCTTCCGACATGCCTGTAATCTATGTAATGGGTTAGCTTCATCTGGATTATAGACAGATATAGCTGGGTATCATCAGCATAACAGTGGAAATTAATCCCATGCTGTCTAATAACTCTACCAATTGGGAGCATGTATAAAGTAAAGAGAATTGGTCCTAGCACTGATCCCTGTGGTACTCCACAGGTAACCTTTGAGCGTGTTGAAGATCTATCATTAACATGAACAAACTGAAATCGATCAGATAGATCAGATTTAAACCAGTCTAGAGCTGTTCCTTTAATTCCAACAAAATATTCAAGTCTTTCTAAAAGAATATTATGGTCAACTGGATCAAATGCAGCACTGAGATCCAACAGGACGAGCACAGATACAAGTCCATTATCTGAGGCCATGAGAATATCATTAGTGACTTTCACCAGAGCTGTTTCAGTGCTATGATGAGCTCTAAAGCCAGACTGAAACTCTTCAAAAAGTTCATTATGGTGGAAGTGATCGCAAACTTGTTTGGCAACTACTTTCTCAAGAATTTTGGATAAGAAAGGAAGATTGGATATAGGTCTATAATTGACCAAGTCATCTGGGTCAAGAGACGGTTTCTTAAGCAGAGGTTTAATTACAGCAACCTTAAAAGCTTTAGGTACATATCCCTGTAACAGAGATAGATTAATCACATCTAGAATGGAGGAGGAGATTAAAGGGAATACCTCCTTAAATAACCTGGTTGGAACTGGATCTAACATCCAAGTTGAAGGCTTAGATGAAGACAATAATTTTGCTAATTCAGAGAGTTCAACTGGATCAAAGCAGTCTAAACCCGGTTCAGATTCCATGACTACCTCAGGTACAATCGCGGATAGAGGAGTGCTTATGATCTTATTTTTAATAAGATCAATCTTATTTATAAAGAATCCCATAAAATCATTGCTGCTAAGAGCAGGTGGAATGGACGGTTCAACAGAGCTATGGCTCTGGGTGAGTTTGGCAACTGTATTAAAAAGAAATCTAGGATTATTCTTATTCTCCTCTATTAATGAGGAGAAGTATGCTGCTCTTGCTTTACAAAGCGTCCTCTTATACAGCAGTAAACCATTTTTCCAGACTTGGAAGGACTCCCGCAGGCCTGTGGAGCGATATTTTCTCTCCAGTTTCCTAGCATTTTGCTTCAAAGTACGCAGCTCTGCATTAAACCAAGGAGCAAGCTTTCTATTTTTAACGGTTTTCATTTTCATAGGAGCTGCGTTGTCTAAGGCAATACGCAGAGAACTAGCAACCCCATCAACAAAATCATCAACCTGTGAAGGGGAATAAGCTAAGCTTTTGCACTCTGCAGCACTGCTCAGCGACACAGAGGAGAGAGAAAGTGAAGCAGATTCTTTAAAATTTATAACTGCTCTATCTGATAAAGATCTACTAAAATTGAACCTTCTTTTGGGGGAGGAGAACTCTGTTAAAGTAATCCTGAAGGTTATTAGAAAGTGGTCAGAGAGGACAGGGTTGTGAGGAAATACTGTTATTTCTTCACATTCTATGCCGTATGTCAGCACAAGATCCAAAGTATGAAGATGAGAATGTGTGGGACTATTCACATTTTGAACAAAGCCAATAGTGTCTAAGATAGCATTAAAGGCTGCTCTTAAGCTATCGCCTTCAATGTCAGCATGGATGTTAAAATCTCCCACTATGATGACCCTGTCAGTATTTAATACCAAATCAGAAAGGAACTCTGAAAACTCATCTAAAAATTCAGAGTAAGGACCTGGTGGACGATACAAAGTTACAAAAAGAAGAGGTTTTCTTGCCTTGAAATTTGGATCAGGGAAATTAAGGGTTAAATGTTCAAAGAGTTGTAGGTATTAACTGTTTTGGGAGTAATCAGTAAGTCAGACTGGAAGATTGTTGCTACTCCTCCTCCTCGCCCAGAACTTCTGTGGATGTGAAAATTTAAATAGCTTGAAGGAGTTGCCTCATTTATGCTCACATAATCCTCTTGCTGCAGCCAGGTTTCTGTAAGGCAAAACAAGTCAATGTGATTATCACAAATCAAGTCATTAACTAGCAGACTTTTAGAGGAAAGCGATCTTATGTTAAACAGACCGCATTTAATTGTTTTAACTTTTTCCCCAATTGGAGTTATTTTGATTTTAATTAGATTATCATGATTTACTCCTTTGGGATTCTTTGCTAATTTATTAGATTTTGGTCGTGGGCAAGTAACTGTCTGGATGGAGTAAAGAGTGGGTAACAGTAGAGAAGCTGCAGAGATGTGTGTTAAACTACAACTCTGCTTCCTGGTCTGCACCCTGGGGGGTCAGGGTTTTGGAGGACTAATAAATGTGGCCAGATTCCTAGAAAGAAGAGCTGCACCATCCAAAGTGGGATGGATGCCGTCTCACCCAATCAGACCAGGCATATGGTTTCCAGGAAGTTCTGCTGTTTTGGAGAAATTGATAAAAGCAGCAACAGCAGAGCTATATGGTTGTTATACTGTTGCTGTTGCAATAAAGCTGTCATCATTTGTGAAAACATTCTCCTGTCCTTTATTTCATAGAGTGAGAATATAAGAAGGTAAAAACGGAAAATTTCAATCCTACAATGTTTGTTGGATTTTGGAGATAATTTCTAGTCATTTCTATCGTTAGCTGTTCTTGACCCACACAGATTTCCATTAATCTTTATAAATCTGTTCCTAATCAGGATCATATTGATAACCTGGAAACATCAGAGCAGCCTCATGCAACCTCCAGATGATTCACCTGCTGCTGCTTTCTAAATAATGATCATGATAAAACAGACATCAGAAATCATCCCCACAGATTATAATGTTTTATATTTTAGGAGTGGAGATAAAATCCTTTTAGGTTCACATCTACACCTACATGCTGAACCTAGTTAACTTCAACTACTGGTCAGAGATCAAAACCAGTTTCCTAATAACTGGTTCTGCTGGGTTTAACCAATTCAATATGGATACATTATTTACAGTCCTTTACTGCTGCCCTCTTTATTTGATAATAGTGGCATATTTTTCATTTTTGGTTTGTTTTGCTCTGAAAATAGAAGTTCTTTAATCTTATTGAACATTTCTATAAGATAGAATAAAATTAATCTCCCAGTTAAAGAAGCTGCAGAACTTTATTTTTGTTTAAATTATAAACACTAGACTTAGCAGGTCGGAGCTA